TGGGTGTGGGTGTGGGTGTGGGTGTGGGTGTGGGTGCACGCGCGTGCTCACTGACCGGACTGCGAAAACCCGGTGGACGCCGCAGCGGTGAACGCCTGGATGCCTCCAGCGGCCTGAATGCTGTTCCACGCCATCCTCAGTGGACTGGCGGGGACGCCATCGCTCGTGCCATACGCACCATATCCGGATGCACCCGGGTCCATGCCGCCGTGGCCCTGCTGCGCGTGCATTGGGTGGTGCTGGTTCATCTGCGCGTGCGGCTGCTGGTGCTGCTGCACGCCTGGCTGCATATCAAACGGATCGTCCAGAAACCATGCCTGCTGCTGCATGTTCTGCGGTGCGCCGCCGCCCATGCTCATCCCAAGCATCTGCGCGTGTGTCGAAAGACCGCGGCGTCCGGGTGAGAGCCCCGTCGATGCACGCAGCGAGCCAGGAGTGCGGCCAGGCGTCAAGCCCGAGCCCATGCCTAGCCCGGCGCCAAAGCCCGAACCGCCAAAGCCTCCCATGGCCAGCTGCATCTGCAGCCGTGCGCCCGAGTTGGGCGACATCATGCCGGCGGCGCCACTGCGCAGCGGAGAACTGCGGATCGGGCTGTGCGCCAACGCGGCCGCCACGCGAGCTGCCGACGTGGGCGAGCGCATGCCCTCGTCCATGCCCTTCTGCGCGCCCATCGGGCCCATCGACGCACGCATCGACGACATGGGCGAGCTGATCGACCACAATCGCTTTGGCGACGTCACCGACGAGTTGTTCGCGGTCGTGCCGGCGCTCTCGCCGCTCAGGCCCTTGGTCTGTCGACGCAGTGGCGACCCGCGCGAAGCGTCGCTGTCCATGCCGTTTGAGAATGCAAACGCACCGCCCAGCGCCGAGCCTCCGCGCATCGCGTTGCGATATGCGCCGCTCCGCGCTCCATTCAACGGCGAGCCCTGGCCGCCGTAGACCGATGGCGAGAAGCCGGTGCCGTAGCCGAGCTGGCCGCTACCGTTGCCGGCCATCTTGCGCTTGCGTGCACTGTTGTGCGCCGTCGCCTGCATCGAGGGCGGCGGCATCAGCGTAAAGGGGCTGCTGGGCGGGCTGCTCGCGCTGTCGACCAGGCCCGGAAGCGTCTTGCTGTAGTTGCTCCCGGCAACGCTGCTGCTGTACATCGACGAACCAACGTGCGGACGCACAGGTGTGATCGTCTCGATGCCATGGATTGCCATGGGCCCATCGCCCAGGTGGCCTCCATTCTGAGGCTGCGTCTCGAGCAGCGGCAGTCGGTCCGCAAACACGATCGGCGTGTCCTTCTTCGCCTTCTTGGACGGCTGTGCATTCTCATCGCGCTGCGACTCGTCCTCGCTGTCGCCAGCAGCCTGGCCTGCCTGCGTCTTTTTGCGCTTGGCTTTGCTGCGCTTCTTGGCGCTGCCCTCCGCCGCATCGGCTCCGACGGTGCTTTTCTGCGAGGACTCGGGGACAGTCAAGCTTCTCTCGACAGCGTCGGGAGAGTCCAGACCCTGCTGGGTCTGACCTTGCTGCTGCAGGAGCTGCTGCTGCTGTCGCGCCTTGGCCGCCTCGAACTTTTGTGGGACGGCGTTGTAGAGGCCGTTCTGGAAGCGATCCTCATGACCAGGCTTGATACCCCACCAGCCGCCCTTGCCGGGCATGTTGGCCTCGCGCTCGATCTTGATGAAGCTCTTGTTGAGACTCAGGTTGTGGCGGATCGAGTTCTGCCAGCCGCGGTCGCCCTTTTCAAAGAAGGGGTAAGTGGAGCTGATCCAGTCGTACACCTCCGACAGCGAGAGGCGCATGTCCGACGACGACTTGATGGCTTGGCCAATGAGGCCAGCGTACGACACCGAGCTCGGCTTGGCCTTGGACTGGCCGTATCCAGGCGGCAGGAGGTAGTAGCGCGCCGGAGGCTCCTCGAGCAGCGTGCCGGCTTCGAGAGCCGCCTTGAGCTCCTCCGAGACCAGCTTGACCAAGCGACTTCCATCGGGCTGGTTCCATCCAATCTCTTCGCCATCTTGCACGGCGGGCGAGATCTTGGTCATGCGCTCGAAGTCTTGGCGAGGGAGGTCGACGACCTTGAAAGCGGCTGGATCGGTCGCAGATCCCGACGTGGCCTTGGGCTTTTTGGCTTTCTTCGTCGAGCCGGTCTGCGAGCCGATTGGGGGGCCGACGATGCCACTGGTGTCCGTACCGTCGGTGGCTGCCGACTGAGTCGCGAAGGTCGGTGCGACAGCAGAAGCATCAATGGAAGGCTCTGCACTTCCTGCACGGTGCCCACCCACCGTCGGGGCTGGCTGGATCACGATCGATACTCCGCCTTGGGCAGGGAGCTGTTTGCTTGGTGAGAGAGGAGAGTGGCTCTGGGCCCGTCGATCCTCTGCAGCCTTCTTGCCCTTCTTGCCTGCCTGCGTGTGCTGCGACGGAGCGCCAAGATCGCGATCGCCCTTGCTGGGCTCGGGCAACGGCAGCTGCGTCTCCACGGCGGGCGCCGAGATGGTCCGCGCCAGGCTCGAGCCAAAGACATCGGCCGGGCTGATGGTATCGATCTTGCGCGACCCGGCACGCTTGTGCTTGCTTCCGCTGGCGTTGGCACCCAAGAAGTCTCGAATGTTACCTGAGGGCTGACGGTCTCGTCCAGAGACGATGGCGCTGCCGGACTGTGCTCGCACGAGGGCACTTCGGGGGCTTGCGAAAGGTAGCTTGCCACCGATCATCTCATCTCCCGAGTTGCCCGCCCTGAGGGAGCGGCCCAGGCGCAAGGGCGACGCGGACGACAGCGAGAAGATCTTGCCGGGCATATCTTCGATGCTAGCAGCCTCTGCGAGGGAAGGAGGGGGATCGAGCGCCGTGCCTCCAGGCGCGGTGAACAGGAGGCCACGCTTTGCGTTGAGGCCCAAAGGCTTGCCGAGACCATTGGCATCTTCCGGGTGCATGCCGATGTCATCGTCGGCGTCAAAGTCGAGGTCGCTGATGCGACTTGCAACGTTTGTGACCAGACGGCCCGAGAGAGGCGACATGACGGCCATGCCGTGCGAGGACGAGCGCATCAGCGACGAGTTTGCGTGGCCCTGTGCGCTGGCCTGGCGCGCATGGAAGAAGCCGCCCACGCTCGGACTGACACCGATGAGCTCTGGTCGAGCATCTTCGGGGGCGAGGAGGAAATGGGCCGCCGGCGTTGCCGCCGATGCAGCACGCAGGCTGGAGCGGCTGGCATCGGTGCCTTTGCGCAGGGTCGAGAGCGGCTCGGCATCCCAGGTGGAGAAGGTGATGGGACCTGGGGTCGAGTTGATGTGGCAGAGCGATTCGAGCGAGTCGAGGCCCGGCTGGCTGGGCGAGATGCCGTGCATGGTGAAGTCGTAGTGCTCTCGCGTGGTCATGCGCATATGCAGGTTGGCCGGACTCGAGCCGAGCGTGGTCCATCGCAATGCGCGGGAAGAGGAGGACTCGGCGGGGGTGGCACGGAGCACCGAGTCTGGCGACCTGCGCGACACCTTGGATGCGTTTGGCGTGCTGATGACGAGCGAAGCATAGTCCGGGTTGGCGGCCTTGATGGCATCGGCAGCTGCGGCTGCTTTGGCAGCCTCCTTCTCTTCGTACTCTGCGCGTGCAGCAGCCTCGGCGGCCTGCTGTGCAGCGAGGTGTGCCTTGTCCTGCTCCTCGGCCATCTTGCGTTGGGCAGCTTCCTTCTGCCTGCGCTTCTCTTCTTTGTAGAGGCGCCTGGGGCTGGTCTGCTGCGCCATGATCTTGTCCAGGAAGCTGAGGCCGCTCATCTTGACATCCAAACTCTCGAGTGCGCCGGGCGCTGTGGTACCGGCGGAGCTCTCGGAGAAAGTCCTGCGGTGGGTTGTGCCCCAGCCGTCGGCTGCAAGGCCACCATTGGCCTCGATGACGGGTGTAGCAGACTCGTTGGCGTGGAAAAAGACGCCCGAGTCGTCGACATCGGGCACGGGGCTGCAGAAGACGCCGGCGTGGTCGACGGGAGACTTGAGCAGGCGCAGAGTGCCACGCGGGCTGACCCATGCACGACGGCTGAGCTCTTCGAGTGATGTGCAGTGCCTCACCTCTTCGCTGACACGGATGACGGGCGAAGATTCGAAGGAGACGGTGCGACCTCGCAACCTGCGGCTGGAGAAGGCGCTCTGGAGCGCCTCGGGTGGGGTGTTGGGGTCGGAGCTGGAGGTGGAATCGCTGCCGACGAGGTCGAGGCCGAGACCGACGCGGGTGGCTGACTTGACACTGCTGCAGCTTCCCCTCTTGGTGTGCGTCCTGGTGGGTGGGGTGCGGAAGGTAGGTGTGTAGCCAGCCTCTGGCGAGGACTGCGCACCGACCGAGGCAGGCGTGCCCAAGAGGCTTTGCGAGCCCTTGTGAGAGCCGCTGGCGGCGTTGGCAGCGGCGGCAGCTCGTTCGCGCTCGAGTCGCAAGCGTTGCTTCTGCTTCTTGATCTTGAGGCGGCGTCTCTCCTCTGCGCTGCCGACGTGATCGAGGCTGGGGTGGACCTTGGGCGAGACGGGCGAGTCTTGGGGCTCGATGACGGCGGTGAAGAAAGAAAGACCGGGGCTGCTCGTGTTGCGAGCCCAGTTGGGAGCTACGGCGCGTGCTAGTGGCGATGGCGCGGCCAAGCGGGACGGAAGGGTGCCAGGCTTGGTCTCTGCCGTGCTGCTCGAATTGGCTGCTGGCTCGGTGGAGCCTGCTGCTTTCCCGGCGGCAGAGGTGCTGGGCGTCGCCGACGTTGCTTTCGACTCGGAAGCATTTGGAGTGGCGAGGCTGGTGTTGGCGGACGATGGCGCGACGGGGCGACGTTCGGCCTTGAGGAAAGCGGCGACGCCAGCCTTGGTACGCTCGTAGTCCTCCCTGGTGAGGCGGAGACCCATGGCTTGTGCGCGCGCAAAGAAGTCTTCGGCGTCCTTGGACATGGCTGGGCCGGTCTCGCTCGCAGCAAGAGTAGCGGCACTTGCACTCGTTGACGCAGGGGTGGATGGGAGCTTGGAAGCCGATGTGGATGGGGTCGCGCTCAGGGTGGTGGGGGATGGTGCGGATGCAGACGCGTTGGACAGAGTGCGCGGTGCGGTTGCTTTGGACGCACCGAGCGCTGCTGCAGGCCTTCCGCGAGCGACGGGTCGGAAAGGGGCACGCGTGCTGAGCGATGGGGCGGACGCATCTGCGGAATCGTCAGTAGCGGAGGTGGAGTTGGTGGGATCTTCCATGCTAGCGGGGGTCGCGGAGCGGGATCCGGAGGGAGTGGGGCTTGCGTGGATAGCCTGAACCAAGGACTTGTCGGCGGCACTGCTGGAGAGCATGGAGAATTTGGCGCGTCGGTTGCCCGGGCCGGAGCGCGAGAAGGTGCTGGGAGCGACGCTGGTTGCGCGTGTGGCGGGCGTAGCGAAGGGAGTGCTGGTGGAGGTTGGCGAGTAGTCGGAGGAGGAGGAGGCGGGGGGATAGTTGGAGCCGGAGGAGCTGAACGAACGCGGGTTGGATGGCGTCGTCATGGTGGTACACGTCCAGGCGCGACTGGGACCTGAGTGGCCCGGGTCGTGCTGAGGAGAGGGGGACAAGGCACTTTGCAGAGGGTTGGGGTGGACACGTAGATGTATGCTGTTGGCTTACGCTCCTGATGGTGAGCAGTACGCGTGCAACGACGAAGCACGAGGCGACGTGGTTTCAGCGGTGGAAACTGAGGAGCGTGAATGCGACGCGTCTGGGTCGATCGTGGTGGGACGCGACGTCGATGGTGTTGGGGGTGGTGATGGTGATCGTGGATGGGTAGATTTGTCCGCGCTGGGGATGGATGTGGTAGCGGTGTATGAGGACGGCGGCGGAGGTGGTGATGAAGGAGGATGGGGATGAGGGTGAGACAGAGCGCGACTGGGACTGCAAGCGCGAAGGTGAGGATGCAAAAGGCTGTGGTGGTGGGTGCAGAGAGTGGCCACCGACCGAGCGCGTTCCACCTGCCGTCCGCGCAGCTGCGGGCGCACCAGCAGACAGCGGGCATCTGAATTTCAACTGCATACCCATACTGTACCCACAGCGCATCAGCGGGAGGGCGCTTTGGCTACTCGCTGCTGGCTTTGACCCGAGTCGAGAGCTGCGCAGGCCAGGCTGAAGACGCGTGACTGCGCACCTGCCAGATTGGCTCGCAGCTGCACGACGGGCGCCTGAGGCCCCTCTGACCTTTTTTTTTTTTTTTT